ACTTTTCCGCTGCTTTGATTATAATTCTGATTCTTTCTGTCCGGCTTTCAGTTTGCACTGAACAGTTCACTACTTCCGCCATAAAAGTAACAACTGCAACATTGTTCTTAATCCCAACTTTCTCTTGAGTTTTTTCCTTTGCCATATCAGTCTTTTGTTGAAGGATTTCTTTACTTTTGTCTCCTGATTCCAAATTCTTTCCTACCTGTTTTAGAGCCTCAGAGTAGGACAATCCTTCCAGTATTCTAACATTCTGAACTTGAGCCGCATATTTCCTCACCTTGCATCCTCCATATCCCGCACTGTGATCCTCTCCACAATCACAACACTTGGGATTAACTCCTTGCCCACATTTGCCATACTCATGGTCTCCGCCACATCTTGCGCACCTCTGTTTGCCTCTGCATACAGCCACTACATGCCCAAACTTTTGGCATTTGTAACATCTTAGAGGAGGGGGTACATAGGGCCTGACCGAGAAGCTCATAAATCCCAAAAAGACTTTACTAGGCAGCTTATCCTCATCAAAATGAATCATCACAGAGAGACTGTCTCCCCTTTCATTATTCCTATTGCATCTTAATCTTTTCACCTCAATCACTGCGGCTCCCGTAAGACCTCTCTTAATCTTTGGGGATCCCTGTTATTACTCCTTTCACCCATTTATTTTCTTCTTGTACTGAACAAATCACACTTTGTGCCATGATCGATTTAACTCCTAGAGCCTTCTTTTGTTGCTTACTATCCTTACAATATATTATCAATCTACCATCCCTAAACTTCTTAACACTTTCAATCAGTCCTATCACTTCCTTAATTGTTTTAGATCATTTCAGCGGATTAATGATACCGAAAGATCCGGTTTCAAGTTTCATCACTACCTCATACTCTTTCTTCCTTCTTCTTGTCTGATGTGTTCCATTTTCACTGTCAGTTTCAGATGCGTTACTCCAGCTTTTCTTTCTTTTTTGATTTTCTACTATACTCTATTCATTATTTCCATTGCCGCCTTCATCCGCGTCAAACACTTCATCCTCCATTTCTGGATCACTTCCGGAATCTACGCCACTTCCGACCATGCACTCTTCAGTCACAGATCAGCTGTTGTGTCTTCTTCTTCTTGTTTTATGGCGAATAACTCCTTAGGAGCATTATCGCCACCTACTGTACTGGAGGTCAAGTAAACTTTCATAGGTGATGAGTCTGAAATTTGAGTACCAAAAAAAAACAAAAAACACCCAAAACCCATGGTGGATATTTCCTATTCTCTCCAATCTATGGCGCACTCAGATCACATGCTCATGCTAGCGCTGCGTGTTCAGCTCCTCTAACACTCACAATTAGCTCTTCATGCCCCAGATTAGGTAGAATACTCCCATCCACACATATTATAATCTAGATCCTAAACCTGAGTCATAGATATATTTAATTAGTGCTCTGTATACCTGTCTATCCATTAAACCATTTCCTAAAATATCTTCATGTGTCAGTCTTTCCTCCCCAAAGTAACTAAATAATGTCACGATATACACTATATTTACTACACCTAAAAAGTACATGATATACATTTTCAGATACACCACATACATCGCATAACCCATTTTCATGTAAACCCATAAGTGCCAGTGTTGATTTCAACCCTGTATGTCCCAGTCTTAATCTAGACAGCCACACCTCTTCTTTCCTATTTCTTCCCTGTCTGCGTAATATTATAACACCATCTCCCTGTGCTGCTATTATCCCATCTAATTAGCCATTTGTTCATTAAATTTTCTTTAAAATCATTGGCAGCGGTCACCGCGCGTCACTCCCGGATAATCGAAAATGGGCAAAGAGACGGGAGCAGGTTGCTGAAGCCATGCCCACCTAGCTCGACGGTAGTGACAGCAGCGGCAATCCACCTGTCACTCAAGTGGCCACGCCCTTAATTATGCAGAACTTTAAGGCTTAATATAATTTAAACGGATGAGTTATAAAAAAAATTCACCCCCCTCACAGTTGTCATCAAGGGCAAAATTAGCTATATAGACCAAAATAATTTTTTTAACCAGGCTGTAAACATGTTTTTTTCTGCTGTAAAGTTAGGGATTTTAACATGGGGAGTCTATGGGATTGACTCCCTTTTGCAGCCAGTTGATGAATTACAGTTTAAGTCACTTCCTTGTTGGCTTCACGAGAGAGAGCGGGAGGTTGCCGCTTGGTATTAGGCTTATCATTATTGCTGATCACTGTTGTTGTGCTATGATATTGTAATATTTACCTTTATATAATCAGAGGGGTATAGAAAAGTTTATTAAAGTGTCACTCCATAATATAATAGCAAAATATATAAATATGTATAGTATTTTTATGTTACATTAATCAGTATTTAGCACACAATAGAAGACATTGCAATTACTAAATTATATTTAGACAGACTTAAAGAAGTTCCAGATCTATACTTGTGCCCTTGTTATTTAAATTATTTTGCCTTTAATGTAAATAAACATGTGCAAACAATATACTTGCTCTTGTGAATTTATTTTGATGTTAATTACATTGTGCGAGCTGTCTCTTTAATACCGCGTGGTTTACATACATGTTGCTGCTGATTGGGCTGACATGTTTGACACACCCACCAAACAAGAGAAAACGCATCTCAAACCCCGGTGCACACCGTTTCCAGGAAACATGTCGTTCAAACCGGAAACCGTAGCAAAACGGTGCACACCAGTTTGAGCTTGAACTTGCCCCTGGACTGTGAATGGACAGGAGTGTGCAGAGGGAAGTGACGGTTCAGGAAATGAATTAGGAGAGATGGAAGTAGGTGGCGGGAGTTATGAATAATGGGATAGGTTAGGAATAATAAACGGAAAAAGAAACGACAGAGTAAATCGGATGGAAGTGACTGACAGGGGATCCACTAGAAACGTAGAGAGATGAATATAAAGTGTTTGCTAAACTTATGCATGAAGGGGACTCGTTTGAAGGTATGAATCCAATACCGTTGACAAAAAAGCTAAATAAGGAAATTGGTGAAATAAAGAGTGCTAGAATTCTAAGAAATTGATCATTGCTGATTATAAGGATGCAAAACAGCAAGGGAAAGTAATCAGAATGAACAAGATAAATGGAAAGAGAGTGGAATGCTCTATGGCTAATGGCAAGAAATTCGTAAAAGGGGTTGTCACAGGAATCCCGGTAAACATATTGGTAGAAGATGTGAAAGAAAATATAACAAATGCAAATGTAAGTGAAGTCAAACGTCTAAAAACAAATAGGAACGGAAGTGTAAGTGATAGCACCTTGGTTGTTATCACTTTTGATGAGGAAGCTCTCCCTGGAAAGATATATATTGGATACATGTGTTACAATGTGAGGCTATACATACCTCCTCCACTTAGATGTTTCAAATGTCAGATTTGGACATGTGGTGGCAGTGTGCAAGGGAAAGCAAAGATGTGGTAAATGTAGTGAAGAACACGAGTATGGCAAATGTGATGAGGGTGCAAAATTGAAATGTTGTAATTGTGGAGGGGAGCATAGCTCAGCGTATCGTGGCTGTGCAGTTAGTAAGAGGCAGGCTGAAGTACAAAGAATCAAGGTGGTTCAGGGAATTAGCTATGCAGAGGCAGCAAAGAAGGTTTCAGAAAATGTGAGAATGACAAAACAAAATGAAATTATGCACAAAGAAATAGGAAAATGTCAAGGATGTGATAAGTTGAAAGAAGACACTCTGATAGTGAAAAATAATGATTTTGTACTGTTTATGGCAGAAATAATAAATTGTTCAGCACAGACAAAAAGCCGAAATGAAAGGATCAAAATAACTGTCAAATCAGCAGAGAAGTATCTAGATGTAAAAGGGTTGCCCTGGGAAACAGTTAGAGATACCCTCAATAAAGAAACACAATACTCTCAGACATGGGCTGGATCATCTTAATGGTGCTAATTGCGAACGGTCAAGAGTTTAAGAAGTATATTGATGATTTAGTAGAAAAACCTACTGCAATATGTATAAGGGAGACATGGTTAAAACCACAATTAGATTTTATTATAAAGGGAAATAATATAGTTAGAAGAGACAGAGAACTTGGCAGAGGAGGAGGAGTAGCAACATTTATTCAAAATGGTATGAAATATAAGGTAGTACAAATAAATTCAAATTATGAATCAATTAGTAGTAAGATATGGACTGAGAGAGGTTGCATAGATATTATTAATTATTATAATCCATGTGAAAAATTGAATCAAAGCATTTTAGAAGATGTAGTGGGACCATTAAAACAGCGGCGTTACGTTTTCATCACCAGATGTTTGTTGTAGCTATATGGGCGCGGCGCTCCGTTTCAAATACATAAATTATGAGCCTTTATAGATATAGTGTTTCTTGCATAAAGAAAACGCTGTACTTATTCAAACAACATGATCTTTATTTACCCTTGCAGACCTAGTTCAGCTGCTGTGGAACTTCAGTTCATTCAGTCAAGACAGAGGGGGTGGAGTTATGAGGTTTACTGACAGCTTGAGCGGATCCAACAAGATTTAGTCACAAGCTCTTTTTAATACCTTTCATTAGCTAAATATTTGTAAAGCAGACAGACAGATGTAAAGGGTGACCAATATCATTGATTTATTGAAGGAAAAAAAAAAAACATCACCAAAAAAAGGGCACTTCGGAGTGTAAGGGCAAAAAGGGCATGTGCTTTGCAGTTATGTCTTTAGTGAAAATAAAGTTTGAAAAGTAATCGAATTCTAGTCAGTATCTGTGCATTCTGTGACAGCATTTTACTGTTTAAATCTGTTGCTGTCTGTCATAATCTGTTAATCAAACAACAAAAGAAAATGAGAGAATTATTCACTGCTCTTCACTGAATATTGTGAAACTTTATTATTAATCAATGTATGTTTTATTTATATGGTGAAGTCTATGCTGTGCTTTACTTTTACATTTGATTACTTTAATCAGTTTCTGTATAGTAGGCTATTATAGGCTAAATTGTTTCATGGTACATTTTTTTTTTTTTTATGAACGAACAGACAGACAAGAGTTTTATGATAGGGAGGAAGATCATGAGGTCATTATTTAAATAAATGTGTTTAAATCGTTTTACTGTTTGGTGGAAATGGTCAAAAGTATTTAATGACAAACGTGTTTCCCCAACACCCTACTAATCTTCCATTGTTCAGAAAAACAGATTATCACAGCACTGGTTGGTTCAGCTTGTTAGGTTGCTCAAAGTTAACAGGGTGACTCATCCTTTTCAGGGAACTCAACTTAGGAGTGCTTTAGTGTACTGTAAGTAAATGTACTGTATACCTTGAATACAAGGTAAGTTGCTGCCAGTGTCTGCCAAATGCATAAATGTGATGTAAAAAAATTTTTTAAAGTTAATATTAAAATCTATTTTAAATCTATCTAAATATAATGTGAAGTGATGTGTGGCCAAGTGTGGTGACCCATACTCAGAATTTCTGCATTTAACCCATCCAAGTGCACACACACAGTATAGTGAACACACACATACACACACACACACACACACACACAATATCATCTCGCACAGTGTGGAAGCTTGAAATTTTAACAGATATATTGTTTTAGATCAAGGTTAGAGAGATCAACTAAACAAGTGAGTCATAGAACATTTGTGCAAAGTATAACAAAACATGTATTATATCAGTGTATTTGTTTGCAATTTGATGAGTGGTTTTACAGTTATGTGGAAAACACTGTCTGTTGATTAAAGCCAGATGTCTTAAACAGCTGTAACCTGCTGTAAACAAACAAACAAGAGAAATACTGGAGCAAAAGCAACAAATCATGTTGTTATTTCAGCCAAAAAAAAAAAACTGGGTCCTAAAATACTAACATGTCATGTATTTACTGTCTTGATGACAACTTAACCAACGTTGTGATTTAAGTAACACTATAGCAGGATTGCACATCAGACTGCCCGAGTCTCCATTACCAGCCAGCCCAATGATTTCCTGTGCCTCTTCCTGTAAATAAATAAATAAAACTCATATCCAGTTTTGCTGATTTAAAGGGA